GGTTGCTATGAGTTGGACCCGATTTGACGGCATCTAACAACGAGCTCTGGCAGCATAGCGCCTAAGGCACTTGACTGCTAACTAGAAGGCTGGTGGTTCAAACCCACCAGCCACTCCTCAGAAAGAAGGTTGGGCAATCTACTTCCGTAGTGATACAGCCTCAGAAACCTAAGGAGGGGTCACTATGAGTCAGGTCTGACTCGATGGCACATAACAACAACAACAAAAAATATTATGTGTGTGTGTGTGTGTGTTGTACACACACACATATATATGCATATATAAGGGCTCTGGTGCCATAGTGGATAAAGCATTTGGCTGCTAACCAGAAGGTTGGCAGTTCAGACCCCCAGCTGCCACGGAAGGAAGATGGGGCAATCTACTTCTGTAAAGACTTCAACCTCAGAAACCCAATGGGTGTCGCTATGAGTCGGAATTGACTCGATGGCATATAGAGAGAGAAAGGGAAAGAGAAAGAGATAAATTTATCACAAGGAAATGGCTCCTGTGGTTGTAGAGGCTGGCGAGTCCTAAGTCCGTAGGTCAGGTGTGAAGCTGAAGGCTTCTCCTGACTCCCATAGCTGCAGGGGCTGACGAATCCAAGATTGGCAGGTAAGGGCCTGGGCTCTTTGCTCACAGGCTGCAAAGGAAACAATTCTAAAATTGGCAGGCAATACAGCAGGCCACTGGTCAAGTCCAGATGATGATGAGCCAGATGGAAGATCCAGAATGAGCAAAAAGCCAGAGACCTTTTCCACAGATATTGGAAGCAGGTCACACCCCCAAAGGATCTCCCTTTCAGCTGACTGACTGCTCATAGCAGATATCATCGTGGGGAATCACGACACCATAACTGCTGAACCACTTAGAATCATGGCCAAGGCAAGCTGACACATGACCTTAACTATCACCGGCTCCAAAGCCAGGCTCCTAACTATAGTCTAGGCTGCTTTTGCTATAGCAAACATGGTGGTTTTTATTGATATATTTTAAAATTATGTCATGGGATGTAAAAGTCAAAGGCATAAAAGCATAGATGGTAAAAATCCTCCCTGTCGATGACATAGGCAAAGGACTATTTTATTCTTAAAACAATGAAAATAGCTTCTATTTATTATGTCCTTACAGTGTGCCAGATACTGTGTGCAGTAATTTACCTAATGTCAGTTATCACTATAACCTATGAAGTAGTCGTTAGCTCCATTTTACCAATGAAGAAATGGAAATTCACAAGGCCTAAGCAAGCCTCAGCTGTCCTGGAATAAGTGCAGCCAGAATGCTCCTTGGAGGCGAGAATGGCAAGACTTCATCTCACCTGCTTTAGCCATGTAGTCAGAAGGGACCATTCTCTGGAGAAGGACGTCATGCTTGGTAAGGTGGAGGGTCGACAAAAGAGTGGAAGGCCCTCAACGAGATGGATTGACACAGTGGCTACAATGGGCTCAGGTATAGCAAGGATTGTGAGGCTGGCACAGGACCGGGCAGAGTATTTCCTTCTGTTGTACATAGGGTCACTATGAGTCAGAGCTGACTTGATGGGACCTAACAACAAGAAGTAATATAGCGAGGGTGACAATGCTAGTAGATAGTAGTTAGGATTTGAACCCAGATCTATCTTAACTCTAAAATTCTGTACACTAAACCCATTCCATGTGCTCCAGCATCTGCTACTCAAAGTGTGGTCCTCTGACCAACAGCATCAGCATCACCTGGGAGAGTGTTTGAAATGCAGATCTCTGGTCCACCCAGACCTCGAGTCAAAATTTGTATTCTTACAAGTTGCCCAAGGCACTATGCAAGTCTGAGGAGTAGTGTTAGCTGTCTGTAAGATCTGTTCGTCTTTGCCCACAAACCTACAGTACATCATATAAAAGTGTCCCACCAGGAACCTTTAAGAACCCGCTGGGTGCTGGTAGTAACAGTTGGTTTCTAACTCTCAGTAGAAACACCACTGCTTCAGGAACAGGCTACCTGCAAGTGATGATAGTAATAAACCAATTGGCATCAAGCTGATTCCTACTCATGGTGACCCCATGTGAATCAGACCTGTGCCTTTTAAAAGCAGATTGCCAGGTCTTTCTTCTGATGCACCACTGGGTGTGCTTCAACCACCATTTTGGTTAGTAGTCAAGTGCTTAACCATTTTGCAGTGCAGTGAATTGCTTAATATGGCCTTCTAGCCATTGTCCTCCATTTTGTGATGTATTATAAATCCTAGTCTCTATGCCTGTTTAGGGTGGGATGTATCTTTGAGTCCCACCTTGCTGTAGGGTGTAACTCAAGTCACCATCCTTTGTTTCCTTGAGAGCATATATGTGAATGTTCTGGGAAAATCCTCTCTGTTGCTCCAGTCCTGCATTTGGTTCAACATCTCCTCACTCCTGGACTTGAGACAGCAACCGGTCATCTGACCTGTCGATTTGGGCTTACCAGGCTCTGCAAACACACGAGTGGAAGAATCCTCCAGAACTACCCATGGACTTGTGACTTGCCAGCCTCATAGCCTCCACCACCACATGAGCTGTTTCCTTGGCAATTTGTGGATTCCGTGAGATATTACAGTGAAATATGGCACCCTCTGGTGGCATAGCACCTAAGGGGTTTGACTGCTAACCAGAAGGCTGGAGGTTCAAACCCACCAGCCACTCCTTGGAAGGAAGATGGGGCAATCTACTTCCGTAGAGATACTGCCTCAGAAACCCAAGGAGGGGTCGCTATGCGTTCAATCGACTTGATGGCAGTGAGTTTGGTTTTTGGTTTGTAAGACAGGAGGGAGAGTACTGAGAGGAGGAGGAAGAGTTGCTGTTAGAGATGATGGAAGAGTGCAGCAGTTTGGAAAAGTCAGACATTTAGAACATCTTTGTGTGTGTAAATTTTTTTTTTTTTTAATTTTTATTGATTTGGGTGAAAGTCTACAGAGCAAATTCACTTTCCATACAGCAGCTCACATACATTTTGTCTCATGACACTGACTGCAATTTCCCACAATGCAACAGCTCCCCTCCCACTTCCTCCCCATAGTTACCTCTTCCCTGTATCCTTCCCTCCCATGTGCTTGTGACCTGAGATGTCTCTCTCTGCATACACAGCCCTTCTATTCTCCCATGATTGATCTCTCCAAGGAGTATATCTACCCAGTGTAAATGTTCAGCTCATATGCCTGTCTTTTGACTGGAAGCCACAAGAATGGGTTTAATTCCAGACCTGAAGGGCAGCTAGGGGCCATAGTCTCAGGGGTTCCACCAACATTTAGGACATCTTTAATTTCTGCCTCCTAGGGACTAGCCTTGTGCTGATGCTTCTAAAAAATTATTCAAGCAATTTGTATTACCCAGGGACTTGGTAATAAGAACTCCCACTTAATATGCTAAGCATTGTACTATTTTTACTCAGTGCATTCTCAAAATATCCTTAAGGAGGTGGGTACTATTATCATCCCCATTTTAGAAATGACAAAACTGAGCCCAGAGATATTAACTAACTTGCCCCAAGTCACACAGTAAGTAGAGGAGCACCCAGTGCTTAGCAGCTTGAAAAGTATCATTAGACTTTCAAGTCCTCTTCTAGGCCAGCCAGCTCTTTAGGTCTTTTTGACACTTAGCCTCAAATCTAGTATTGTTCCTCTTTTGTTATTAGTAACAAAAACAAAAATCCACTCTCCTTTCCAGAAGCACACATCTGCCTAAGAACAAGTGGTCTCTAGATTACCTTTCGAGAAATACCGCATTTGCTACTTCACAACCCTTGAGGGGGAACAAAAAAATCCGCTATGAGCAATGACTCAAATGCTTCTTAAACATGCAGGTGGGGCAGCTGAGACAGGGGTGCTGTAGGGCCAGGTCTAGGTGCTCACATCTAGGCTGAGTTACAAAGTCCATCATTTCATGAAAAGGTTTGTCTCTTTTATGTCAGCCCTGACCCTGTTCTCCGCCGAGATGGAGGTCAGAGGTGAAATGAGAAAACACCAGCTGTTTTAACAGGGAAGGTGCTTGCTCTCCCCATTTTTAAGCCACTTTCAGGAGTTTTCTGAACCATCCTAGGAAAATCAGCTTAGATTACACAAGTATAACATTTACATTGTCCCCAGGCCATTTGACAGATAATGAACAGATTGCTGGCAGGTCAAGGATCAGGATGAAGTTGCTTAAAAATCCAACACCCAATGCAGGAAGACTTGGCGACCAATAGAGAGAAGGGCATGGGAAAAGGCACCATTCGCACCAAGCTGAGCCCAGAGTTTAAATGTGATTCTCTAAAAGGTTTTTTTTTTATTGTGCTTTAGGTAAAAGTTTACAGAGCAAATTAATTTTCCATCCGACAGTCTGTAAATAAAGTGTTTCATGACATTGGCTGCTTTCCCCTCTAAGTTTATTATGAAGTATTTGATGTATAAAAGCACATAAAGAATATGACAATGGACATCCTCAAAGCCATTACCCAACATAACAGTACATCAATGCCATCCTGCATCCTCAGTTTCCCCCGAATTAGTCATTCCCTATTACCTTAAATTTGATGTTTCTTGTATTAGTTTGAACTTTTTTTTTTTAAATAAAACAAACAAAAATTTAACAAAACTGGAAAGAAACAAACTGATTCGAGTGTAATGAAACTGGCTGTAAATCTTTCTGCTAATGGAGATAATGGCTCTGTGTCACTGAGGTGAAAAAATTCAGCTACAGAGGTTCCAGTTAGGTCAAATTCCACACTCTTCCCATCTGTGTGGTAAGAGCTGCTGCCCCTATCAGGGCAACTTACAGGACCTCCCCACTCACAGAGGGCGCATGGAAGAGGACTGCTTCAAGGAGCTGCTTTACGGATGCCACACACATGATCAGTTCACGGACAGTGCCAAGAGGCAAGGGCAGAGGGCGTGACAGTTCTCAGAGAACTACTCTACAGACTGTAAGTGCTCAGAGGAGTCTCTTGCAACACTTTATTTGAAAAGATGTGAGCAAAGAGCAGGGCAAAGGGCCCTGTAAGCAGTGTTGTGTGGTGTCTGGAATGTCTTGGTTTATGGAACTGTGGAGATAACAGAAACAGTCTGGTTAGGCATTGTAGGAAGAGGATGACACACTGCCACCATGGCCTGTCCAGTTAGTGTGGATGAAGTGCCCCGGTTTGGCTAGGAGCTCATAGGTGTGAGCCCCAAAGTAATCTCGCTGAGCCTAGAAAATAAGAAACAAGTTGGTTGGGATAATGTGCAGGTACACAACACTCAGGTAGCAGCCACGCTAGGTTTACTCCAGATGTTTACCTGAATTAGGTTGGCTGGCAGCATCTCATGTCTGTACCCGTCGTAGAAGGAAAGTGCAGTGGTGAAGCAGGGCATGGGGATGCCGATCTGGACACCTGTACTGATGACCCGCCGCCAGGAGTCCTGGACAACAAAACAGAGCCAAAGATGAGTGATTCCCCATAGCAAAGGTAACCAGTTCCACTCTAAATGACAGATTTCCATTCACAGCAATGCCAGTAAATGAAACATAGACACCCCCACAGCAAAACCCACTGAGAGTAAACTCATGTATCACCGGCTCTAGGCTCCATACCTGGCAGTTTTCCACAGCAGACTTAAAGAAGTCATCTAGCAGCAGATTCTGAAGTTCTGGGTTTCGGTCAAATGCATCCTTTATCTTCCCTAGGAATACACTGAAACAATCAAGAGAGGGGAACTCAATGAATTTGAACTACAGCAGACTGAACACATGGCAGGAAATAGGGGAACTAAGAAGGAAGCTGAAATACACCCTAGAGAAGTCAGCAGTTACGTTTCTCACCCCTCACAGCAAGCCTGAAGGTTAATGCACAGTCAGTGCAAACACAGAGCAAAAGGTGTGATGGAGACAATCCAGAGTCACCGACTGTGTACAGAAAAAAGTGAGATGTGGCAATCTAAACCTGCCCTGCCAGTGTTCCAGTGACAGGGCTACCTGCACAAGTTACAGGGAAACTGTTCAAGCAAGTGCCTCAGGTTACAGGTCTGTGCACAGCAAGCCAGTCATAAGTGTGGGCCATCCCATTAGTCTCACAGCTGCTTCTCACTTACCTTCTGATGATGCAGCCCCCCCTCCACATCAGAGCAATGCCACCATAGTTGAGGGTCCAGCCAAATTCAGTGGCTGCCTGTCGTAGCAGCATGAAGCCTTGAGCATAAGAGATGATCTTGGAAGCATAGAGGGCCTAAAGAATGACACAAGACTCATCAGAACTGCAGTGAGCAGAGGAACCACCTCACTAAACGTGCAGCCCCTAGAAAAGACAACTGAATAGGCAAGGAGGTAAATCAGGGTCACAGGTGAAGGCTGAGCTGTTCCACCTGCCACCCTGCTGCCCAGCATGTTCTCCCCTGGCAGCCCCTTCCTCTCACCACCTTCTAAGGAACCAAAAAAGATTACTGCCAGGGACTGTGCCCTACCTTCCGAATGTCCTCCAGGAATGATTTCTTGTCTCCCTCGAACTGGATCTTCTGGGGACCCTTCAGCTTTTTGCTAGCTTCAACCCTCTCACCTTTCAGTGATGACAAGCATCGAGCAAAGACAGCTTCTCCTACACAGAGGGACAGGGGAATGCAATATGTTAGCAAAACTCACAGATAAAACCACAGACAAGAGACTGGGAATGCCAGAGCATGTGGAAAACTGGAGCTGGAGCAAGAAATTCTATTTTCCAAAGAACTGAAATGTCTCAACCAACATTAGCCCACAAAACATAACCTGGATCACAAAGAATTTCTATAAAAAGCACCTAACAGTTAATTTGATAGCAAAGTCCAATTCAACCTTCCAACATAAACACAGGTATTCAACCACAAAGATCAAACATGAGGGAATTTTGAGGGAAAATGCTGAAGAATAACCACTATTATTTTATTCAGTGTTTGTCTAAGAGTAAAAATCTCACTTTCAATTTGGAAGACTCTTTTTTAAAGACTCTTCTGAGGCACTAACTACTTATCAACAGTGAAATTGCTAGTATAGTGAGGAAGTCACAGACTCACCCCTGAAAAAACTCCGATTTAGAATTCTTACTTTTTATCATCATTGTATCCATGATCACCACTGAAGTATTACAATTTTAATTCATTTGAACAAAAAACTTTCCATAAAGTATTTTAATATTAAAGACATTTAGTATCTTTAAAAACTAGCATAGTGGCTAAGGCACTTGACTGCTAACCAGAAGGCTGGCAGTTCAAACCCACCAGCCACTCCTCGGAAGGAAGGTTGGGCAATCCTACTTACGTAGTGATACTGCCTCAGAAACCCAAGGAGGGGTCGCTATGAGTCAGGGCTGACTCGACGGCACATAACAACAACAACATAAAAGACTAGTGGCTCAACTGACAATGTGTATAATTAGAATATATTATTCTTTAACCATTTTACCCCCTGCAGACAAAATGAGGTAAACTCTCTAAGAAGTAAAGCCTCTGGCACTAACAGGACTTTATTTTTGAGGAACCATTTCTAGTCATGAACTTGAGAACACCAACTAAACTTGAATCACACCAAAAGGAAATGTCTTTCTATCTCTGCCCAGTTATTTCTTCCCCCTGCAGTGCACACGCATGATGACTTAGTAGTTGTGGAAGGAAGCTCTGTAAGACAATGGGGTGATGAAGCAATTTTGGTAAAATCCTCTGGAGTTATGTAAGGATTAGCTAGAAGCCTTACTTCCCCATTGCTCAGCAAATGAAAATGGCACCCATCCAGAGACTAAATCTAACCCCAACTTCAATTTGTAGAAAGGGCAGTCTCTAAAACAAGTGGAGAGGTTTTTTTAGACTGTAATACTCTCATACTCATTTAAATCAATGAATAAACTGTTCTTAATTACTGTCCTACCACCTCTGCTCATGGTATCACTGGAATTAGCTAGAAAATAGCCAACTTTCTTCTAGATACAGATGACTACAGACCCTCCCTCCCTCCTGGCTGTGCCTTCCACACAGTTCACTGTAAACAATGACACATAACCACCAAGGAAATCAGAACAAAGGCAGGGTCCAGGAAGGGAAAGGCAACCTGTATCTGGAAAAGCCAATAAGGAAATCTGTTTTATTACAGGGGAAGCATTCTGCCAGGAGCAAAGACAACCCTTCATTAAACATGCTGGGCTTCTTTTTTCAATCTTGTTAGAAGTGTATCTATGTTACTCTTAAAGAACCAGCTTTTGGTTTGTTAATTCTGTTTTCTGTTTATTTTTGCTTTTTATATTTCCTTTCCACATATTTTTGAGTTTGATACTTAGCTCATTAATAAAATAAAAAACATGGATGGAAGAAAGCACATGAACATTAAAAAGATCATGGGTCATTTACTGCAATTAAATTACTAATGCAAAACTGTTCAATCATGTCAGAAAGAAACTTTTTTAGACTTTATAGTCTCAAAGCTCATATAAATGAGGATTATAAAAACTGATGCAAAAGCAGTTCCAGCCTCTCCCATTGCAAGCTCTTTCTTATGCAAAAAGTGGAGAAAGCACTCTGAGGGCTGGCTGAGACTGAACAGAAGCTCTGAAAGACCTGGTTTCAGCTACCAATCTGATTTCGAAGCACATCAAGATCAGATAGTGGGAAGAGTTCTCAGGTGAATAGCTGAACGTTACCGATGAGGGTGACAGGAACGCCATACTCCAGGGCTGAGATAGCTGTCCACTTCCCAGTGCCCTTCTGCCCCGCACTGTCCCTGATCTTTGGTAGCAGGTGTTTGCCATCAGTATCTTGGAACTTGAGGATGTTGGCTGTGATTTCAATTAGGAATGAGTCTAGCTCTGTCTTATTCCATTCCTCAAATGCCTATATGTAGGACATAAAGAAAACAATGTGAAGAAACAAGCATTATCCAGGACTCCATTCCCTGGCCCTACTTAACTGATTCACCCTCACCCCATGTAAAGGTTGACCAGTGCTCATGATTCACTGAATACTAGAGGCTGGCGGGCTCTTCTCAAAGATGCCTGAGCACCTCTGCTCCCACCAGCTGTTTATGCTATCCAAGACTCAGCATCTTCACTCTCAACCTGGTTATGCTGATTTTCTTATAATAGAGTTGTCCTTTCCTCAGAGCCAAGTATTCCCTCACTTCATTTAGGTCTCTGTTCACTGGCACCTCCTCAGAGACCTCCCAGATCACCCCATCTCAAATCTACCCCTCACCCAAGTTTACTTTTTTCATAATAGTTATCACCACCTAGTATTATATTTTATGTCTCATTATTGTCCCCTATCTTCCAGGGAGTTTGTTTTCTTCATTATTATATCCCCAACATTTATCACAATGTCCAGCACACAGTATTTTCTGCATTAATATATTAAATATTACATAAGTCAATTGAGTATGAACACAAAAAGAAAGCCCTGTTTCTATGAAAACTAAGCTGAATGTTTTGGAAAGAAAGATTAAGGCAAGTCAATGAAAAATTGCAGTCATAAATAAATGGGGATGAGACAAATAAAAATCAGGAGACAAAACTTTTGGTCGGAAGGATTCTGCACTGAGCCTTCCAAGTGTCTTTCAATACTGTTTATATGAAATAACTGAAACTAAAAATGCTGGATGGTAAGAAAAATTACTAAACTGCTGATCAGCAGGCCATCCCTAAAGCAGCTGCCTTGGTCCTACAGACAATGACCGATGATGAGACTGACAGGGATGGACACACAGGAGGCAAAGCAAGAATAGCACAATGTCAATGGCAGAATCTAGGTGGTGGGGACACACACACCAGCTGTAAAGTTCTTTCAACTTTGCTTTATGTTTGAAAATTTTCATACGACTGCCGGGGAAAATGTTTTAAGGTCTGCTTTATGCTTTCCTACTTTCCACTTTTTTGATTAACTCCTAACTTGATGAGAAAAGAAAGCTTTGCCAGAGCTCCCACAGGACAATTGCAGGAGTGAGAGAGAGGTGTGTAAAGTGGCACAGATGTGACATACAAGAAGGGCTCACTAAGTGGCAGTAATGACTGCCATCCGGATTCTTTGGGAACATTTTGCTTGGTGACTAGCTATTTTATTTTGTATTCCTATTACTGATAAGGAGCTCTGGTAGCATAGTGCCTAAGGAATTTGGCTGCTAACCAGCAGGCTGGCGGTTCAAACCCACCAGCCACTCCTTGGAAGGAAGATTGGGCAATCTACTTCTGTAGTGATACTACCTCAGAAACCCAAGGAAGGGTCGCTATGAGTCAGATCTGACTCAACGTAGTGAGTTTGGTTTGGTTTTTATTGCTGATAAGGCTAAACCAAACCTACTGACATCAAGTCAATTTTGACTCATAGCGACCCTACAGGACAGAGTAGAACTGCCCCATAGGATTCCCAAGACTATAAATCTTTATGGAACCAGACCACCACCTTATTCTCTTGGAATGGCTGGTATGTTCGAATTGCCAACCTTCTGGCTAGCAGCCAAGGACTATAACCACCACTGTACCACCAGGGCTCGGTTCTACTACTCATACAAAAAAAACAAAACCAAATCCACTGCCATTGAGTCGATTCTGACTCATACCAACACCCACTGGGTTTCCGAGGCAGTAAATCTTTTTTTCGCCGAACCTATCTAGGAATTTAGCCACCCCTCCCCTTCTACCCCTGGTCACCAACAAAGTTTCCTTCTATGTATAAACCTTTCCTTGGCTTTTCACAATAGTGGACTAATACAGTATTTGTCCTTCTGTGACTGACTTATTTCACTTGCATAATGCCCTCCAAGTTCATCCACATGATGTGGTGTTTTGCAGATTCTACATTATTCTTTAGAGTTGCATAGTATTCCACTGTGTGTATTCACCACAGTTTGGTTATCCATTCCTTGGTTGATGGCCACTTAGGTTGTTTCCATCTCTTTACTATTGTGAATAGTGTTGCGATGAACATGGGTGTGCATATATCTCTGAGGCAGTAAATGTTTATGGAAGTAGATTGCCCTGTCTTCCTTCCATAGAGTGGCTGGTGGGTGTGAACCTCCAACCTCTGGTTAGCAGCCAAATGCCTTAGGCATTGTGCTACCAGGGCTCCTATTAGTGATAGCTTCCCTTAAATCAGGGTGAGCACATCTAAGCCAGGAGAAGAGGCATGGGGAAGGATTTCCTGTCAGGAGCAAATCCCTTCCGGTCTTAGCAGTGACGGCTCACTCAGCGTGAAAAGCCAAGGAAAGGTTTATACATAGAAGGAAACTGTGTTGGTGACCAGGGGTAGAAGTGGAGGGGTGGCTAAATTCCTAGATAGGTTCAGCTGGGGACTCACCTTTGCCATCTCGTTATGATCCATGCCCAGGATGTCCTTCATCAAGTGGTAAGCCTCACAGATGAGCTGCATATCGCCATACTCGATCCCGTTGTGCACCATCTTCACAAAGTGTCCTGCTCCCTCCTCTCCCACCTGTCAGAGGGACAAGCACCAAAGGCCTTCAGAGAGGTTGACAGCACAATAGAAAAGCCCACATCTTGGGAAGACTCCCTCCCCATACAAAAAATAACAAAGACAAAGCAAATACACATAGTATTTTTGAAATAAGAATCATTATATAACAATTCTCCACAAGCTTCAGCCCAGTACAATGTTATTTTAAACTAATTCCAAATTCATTCTCTTCAACATTTTCCAAAATCCCAAAATTGACTGTAAGAACCTGTAGCTAGCTCTTTAGCCTAAATTTTCCATTTTCTCCTTGTTATTAAAACAAACACTCTCCAGCCCCAATCCATAGGTAAAGAAGTCTTATTTTTCCTAAAGCTATCAATTTTCTAACAACTGGATGTTAGAATAAATTGGCTAATTAGATCAGTGTACTTTATAAAAATACATAAACATATTACAGCTATTTTTAATGGTTACTGAAAGGCTGAATGACCTTGGATCCAAGGCCAGGTCCTCAATTTTGTAAGCCCAAAAAATGTGATATTGCTAGGGTCCCATAGCCGATATTAACTTAGAATAGAAAAGCTTGCAACATTAAACTAGAACACCAAGTTAGGAATGTATGATGATAAAGTATTAATCTGATCAACATATTCTATCCCTAATGACAAGCTACAAAAATCAAACCAAACCCACTGCCATCTAGTCAGTTTGGACTCACAGTGATCCTATAGGGCAAAATAAACTGCCCCACAGGGTTTCCAAGGTTATCAGTCTTTATGGAAGCAGAGTGCCTCATCTTTCTCCCATGGAGTGGCTGGCAGACTGAACCTGGGAAACCAAACTATCTAGAAATTATTTAGTGGGCAAGTAATCACAACAAAGGGAGAGCTGAGGGTCAGATATTTAACGGCACCAGGCTGTACAATCACATGCATCCACCTCTGTGACAGGGATACACCGCCTGGGAGACAGATGCTTGGCTGGCCTTGGTGGTCCCCCTCCTGGCAGTCGCTGCTTATTCTGATACCACCAGTAGTCACATCACAACTTCCTTCCTGTTTCTACTGCAGACCTGTCTCCTTCTGGGTTTGACACTTTCTTTGACCATGAACTAGCACGGCCAATAACATCTTACTTCACCTCATCCTTCCTGTTGCTTCAAACATTAACTAAGGAGTGTCTTTTAGTATCTATACTTCTTTTTTTTAAAATGATCTGAGAATAAGCCTTGAAGCTATAGAAAGTCAACCCTACTTTGATCTAGATATGAAAGTGCATGGAATTTTTTTTCTTCTTGCCTCTGTCCTGCTGCTGTCCTTAGGTGCCATCCAGTCAATTTTGATTCACAGTGACCTCTTGTGACAGAGTAGATTAAGTCTACTAGACTGTAATCTTTATTAAGTCGAGCACCACATCTTTTTCCTGTGGAGCTGCTGGGTGGGTTCAAGTCACCAACCTTTTGGTCAGCAGCTGAGCTCATCATAATCACTGTGCCAATCACTCAGGCTCTGTCCTAAGTGTATCTAAAAAGAGGAAGCTACTGGCACTGTACTGTTATTAATCTACTATCCGGAACAATCAATCTATATGCTGAGCAAATAATCCAAGAAGCTGGACTATATGAAGAAAAACGTGGTATCAGGATTGGAGGAAGAATCATTAACAACCTGAGATAT